TGGATTATAAATCATAAAAAATGACTGCATTTCATTATTTATTAATTTTCTTTCTTTGATTGTAGTTGTTAAGATGTTTTGGTATGAGCTTTTCATGGTGACCTTTCTGTTACCTTTACAAAAATAAACATTTGATTTAAAACACAGGCTAATGATGCAAAAGTCACGTTTCAAGTATCGGATATGTTTCCTGGCACTTGTCCAGAGGCCTCCTTTTCATTTTCTTCTGAGACGCCTTTTTGTTTTCAAGAACAATGACAATGAGATGACAAGGGAAAACTTTACTATAACAAACTGTCTTATTTCCTTTCTCATCACTCCTCAGCAAAAGATATTCATGCCTTAGTCACCAAGTTTTCTGTGACACATCTGTTTGCAGATGAAAGCCACATCTGGAATGCATAAATGTTAGAGAGTTAGTGGAAAGTGTGTTAAAGAGGCATGGCTCTTGTCAACAACTCTGCTTATCTTTGCAGAGTACTTGCTAACAAAGATTGTCCTAATATCAAGAGCTTCACTTCCAATAAAATAAACAGAGAAAAAAATGTTCTTTAGCTAATGGGTACATTTACAATGGGGCTGAACCCAAGGAATATTAATGGAAGCACATGAAATATGATGCCCGAGAAAACACTTGGCCCTCCTTTCCAACTTGAGTGGTTTATAGCCAAAGCAGCTCTTTTTTTTTAAACTGTTATTGTACGTTAACCGCAGGTTGCCTCGGAGATACACCAAGCCAGCATGATGTCAGTCTTTAGGCGTTGCTCCAAGCAACTCGGAGGGTCACTTTCTACATACATTGTCTAGGGAGCTATTGAACACACAGATACAACATTAGATGAGTAAGTAAGAGACACAAGGTTCCCAGTGGATAACGAGACCTGTCACCCAACATACTCCAGGGATGCAACATAAGACCTTCTCTTTCTGTTATCTATCAGTCTTAATTAAATTCACAGTTACAGTCTGTACCTACACAAGTTCATCCTACAGGCCAGTGTGTGTTAGTTCTTTGCTAATTTAAGTCAGGGGTGAGATAATGGTGCAAAGTTTTGCTATCCTTTGTCAACCTAGTTTGCGTCACATTCTGAGAAGGTCAAATGTTAACATCTAAACCAATTTGTTGTCACCGCCTTTACTTAGGCACCTAAACAGGTCTATGTAACAACAAATAATGTTCAACTCTTATTTAAAGACATTTGTAAATGGAATTTTGAAAAAAGCCTCATCATTCACATCAGTCAGTTTGTCTGACTTGTTACAGCTGAAAGATAAACAAAAGACGTCTGTTCTGCATGCGCCGCACATTCAAATTTTCCTTAGAATGTTACACAACAGACTTTGCTCCATGTCAAATACCAACAGAAGGTCATTGTCAGAGTTTTCCATTGTTGCTGCTTGTGCAAAAACAAGTGCAGAGCTCCAGTGCAGTTCCATATTTAGTATAATTCTTTTATTTTACATCAATATATTTTAAATTGCTGTGGCCATAATAGAACTTTATATCTGTCAGGTCCACTGATGGTGGGCACTAACTCTTCTTCGGAACTACCATCAGATCTCCCACGTTATCTAAATATTTTTACTAAGACTTACTTTTTTACTTAATTTGTGCCACAGATCTTTTTTTCCCCTCTGATCATAAAGAACGTGTGTTACTTTTTGGACAGTTCTGCCTGTTCTTGTGTTTGTTTTCTATAACTGAGAAAGCGATGTAGTGAAATGCGTATACGTCTGTCCTCTCAAGTGGCGTGGCAAAGGCCCGCGTGATGGCATACTTCGGTGAAGGGACGGGGCCCATCCACGTGGACAATGTGAAGTGCACTGGTGAAGAGCTTTCTTTAGCTGATTGTATCAAAGAGGTTCCAGGAACGCACAACTGCCGCCACAGCGAGGACGCTGGGGTCATATGCGACTACGGAGCTCCGCAGCCCAGCTACAAAGTGGTGAAAGGTCAGTCAGTTAGTCAGGACCTGGTTTTCACTTTATAACTCTGAAAACAAATAGAGCTTCTATTATTCATCTGGAAACTATACTGTGTTTAGCAAACACTTCCAAAATGTTATACACACCAGAAAACTCAAAAGATATAAATGGCTGAAGAAAGGACCAGCGTAAGAGTTTAAGCAGAAAGTGTGGGACTTCGATGACTGTGTGTATCCAGATGGTAAAATGGAGAGTTTTACAGTATTATTGCTTCATCCTGTCAGTGACACGTCAGGGCAGACGCACAAAATGCTCTCCATTACCTGCACATGTTCTGATGCTACCATTTCTCACATAACCAATGCAGGACTGTATTTTGTCTCGTTTTGCATGTAGTTTTGGACATCACATACACAAACAGTGAAAGGAATCACTTTATTTATTTATTTATTGAATTCAGGTTCATATTATAGTAGGAAAAGAAGAATTATGCTTTTGACCAGACTAAACATTTAATAAAACCAACACTGGACCTGAGATGTATGGTTTAGCAATCATCACCCTCCCACAGGCTCTCAAATATACACAACCACTGGTCCCTCTTTTGTCTCTGTCAGATCCTGTGGACTCAATTTGCGGTCTGCGGCTCATACACACTCGCCAGAGGAGAATCATAGGAGGAGAAAACTCTCTGAGGTAAGTTGGCAGGGAGAGCAGGGATTAATACCAGCATGGAAAAATCCTGTCAGAGATCTAGAATAAAGAATAATGGCCACATTTTCAAGCAAACCTTAGATAGAAAACAGCTGATCTGAGGGCTATAGGCAAAGAAAACTGTGTGTGCAGACAAACATCAAGATACATTGTGTGGGGACGCATGTTTTAAAACAAAGCAGGTCCATACACAACACTGTGAAACAGTATTGAGCCACCCCTTATTTCATTTTATTTAACTAAGAAAATGGGAAATCCACCTCTCTTTTTTGGATGTCAGCTGCCTTTTGGTTCTATAATCTATTAAGATGATCCCACGCTTCATTAATGGTGAACTTCCTGCACTTGTCTAGTATTCTTAATTTGTTTAAGAGCACACACCGTGCCAAGATGTGCCACGTTTTCAGCCAATAGCTCTTTGTTTTTGTAAAAATACAATTTTACCTTTAAGTTATACAAAGTGTGTGTTTATTTGATGTTTCTGTCACAAGCTGCTAGTAAGAAAGTGCCTAAAGATACAATTTAAAGTTCTTTGGCTGTTTTCTTTGTAGGGGTGGCTGGCCATGGCAGGCTGCTATCCGTTTGCGAGGATCTCGAGTAGATGGGAGGTTGGTTTGTGGAGCAACTCTCATTGACACCTGTTGGGTCCTCACTTCGGCACACTGCTTCAAAAGGTCAAAAACACACATCCGCTATTACTCAAATACACTGGCTTTTTTCATATCGCACATATTAGACTTTTGAAGTGGAAATGTGGATTGTGCTTACACATATTTTGCTAAGTCTTAAAAGTGTTTTGCATAAAGTAGGATGTTTGAATTCATCCCAAAGCAGCTCGACAATGTGTGCGCGTGCACAAGACTGATGAAGGGCTGAGAACTGAACATTTGAGCATTATTCAGTGCTGGTTTGGCTGTGGTTATGGTGCAGGTGGCAGGAAGAAAGGCAATTGCTTCAACTCAACTTCATCTGGACTAGAGGCCTCCACATGATGCCACAAACCGAACATCTATCACCTAACGCATACAGTAGAGAAGGCAGTGGAAAAACAAATAGTCCACATTAAATGTTTACACAGTACATGTTGGATTGTCAGGCTTTATTTTACTGATAATATATTTTGGTTGTTACTGGGTTTTAGTTCCAGTGGTGGGGTTTAGTGGGAGAACCACAGCCCCGTAAAGACCCCAGAAGGTCCATGACTATAAATCCAAGTGTTTCCACATTTCAGAGAGGAAGAAGTCTTTCACTAAATCTTTCCCAGTGCCGTTTCCTGAGCCATTTCCAGACCACTTTAGCTGTCAGAGGCTGTATATGCAAGAACTCCTCTCCTCTGTGAAAGTGCTACTTTCAGCTACTTCGAAACGATACACAGGAAGTGCTCCAAATTAACTATACTTTCTTACAGGAGGTAGATTTAGGTAGTAGTGATTACTTGGTGATTAGTTAATCACCAGGGTAAGATTAAACTGACGACTGTTATACTTGCTCAAAAGCTGCATTGTAAGCCTTGTGGAACCTTCGACAGTTATCCTCAAACATAATGCTTTAATTGTTCTTGCGCTGCAAGAGAACGTTTCTCATAGTTTTCGTGTGGCTGCCGTTTTACTGATTCAGAGGGCCAGAGCTGCTTAAGAAACAGCCTAAAGGAACTCACCTTTTAACTTGCGAGGTGGGGCTAACATGGAAGACTGATGAATGAGAGCCAAGTTTATCTAATATTAGCATCTCATTATTAGCCTATTCCTTGAACAGTACAGCTTCTTGACGTGTTTTCACTGCAATTTTAAGGCTTATCTGTATTTCATGAAGTCTAAACTGCAGTCACCTGAAGGCACTTTTCATTGTGAAAGTCATCACAGGTGTGAAAGTCTTTTTGTGCTGTTTTGTGTTGCGCTCGCTGTTTAACCTTTGCGAGTCTTTGTGCATTTATGGCGTGACCTACAGGCCATAAATGCCCTGCAGGTCTCACCGGTGCCACTGCCACCCAGTTCTGCTATTTAGGACTTCAATAGTGATAGTCAATCAGCTTAATTCCCTGATATCGGTTTTCAATGCCTCAAGCTGTTGGCCTCGGTTATGACAGCTATGAAAAGAAATTTGCTGTATGCGAGCCAGAGGACATAGACCTGTGAAGACTTCCGACTTCACGGTGTCGCCTTTCATCCAGTATACTCCAAAATAGAGTGATACATAAACAAGCACAAAGTTACACACAGCAACAAGCAACGTAATACTATGCGGCCCTTTAAGTCAGAGAAATTAGATGAGCAACTTGGTGTATTCACTTATGTTCGCTCGATTTTGCCTACAAGTACAGATGGCTTAAATATGAAATAAGTGCAGCTGTTCAACCTTTAGTAGCATGACCATGTTGTTTGATTCTCTTAGTATGTTTATGAAAAATGGTCTCATCTTATTGCAGCCAACACATAAACCGATTATTTTCTTGTAGCTGTACAGCTGCAGGTGTGCCAACAATAATATTACACACAGATTTCAGCAGCAGCAGCAATATGTGAAAAATCCATCATAATCTGGAGATTTTGCCTTAAGCGCAGGAAGCCTGGTTGCTCGTGCCACTTCATTTACTTTTTTAATGTAAATAGTCAGTGTGAGCTGTATTTGTGACTGTGTGCTTGTGAAGATTTACGTAGTCAAAAGGCTCGTCAGCAGTGTCTCTGCTCTGCCAGGGACCCGGTAGCATTCCCAGGTCAGGCGATCTTTCCGGAAAGACTGCACCATATGTAACGAGACACGGAGACTTGGCTCCTTCTTTAACTCTTCTTCATTTACCCGTTTCTTTGCACTCTGGTGCACCTTTCTATGTCCCTCCCTTTCCATTTCAAAGACACCAGACACCAAAGAATTAATTGAATGTGTGAAAAACGCTGGTATGTCATGCTATGAGTCAGATAATCACAGCTTTGCACAGATGGAGTGACAGATTTGCTGTCACTCTTGTCTTTAGTCATACTCTGTTTGTTTAGACCAGGGGTAGGCAACTCCAGGCCTCGAGTGCCAGTGTCCTGCAGGTTTTAGATCGCACCCTGGGTTAACACACCTGAATCAAATGATTAATTCATTACCAGGCCTCTGGAAAACTTCAAGAAATGCTGTGGAGTCATTTAGCCCTTTAAATCAGCTGTGATGGATCATGGACACATCTAAAACCTCCAGGACACCGGCACTCGAGGCCTGGAGTTGCCTGCCCCTGGTTTAGACCTTAGTACAAGCATTTATGAGATAGATGAGATTTTTGCGTGAATATTTTGTGCTGGATTGTTCCTCCCAACATTTAAAACATTCTTTTCAGATGTTTTGTGAATGTTGCTGAGAGAATAGCATTGTGTATTTTTACTGAAACCTGAAAGTCAGAGCCAGCCACTTTAGAGGATTGTACAGCTTTGTGAGCTTTGTGCATGCATGCATTTTACGCTCTTTCTACCATAACTCATAAAACTACTGTGTCTATATATAGATATATATAGATGATATATATATATGTGTGTGTGTAGATAGATAGATAGATAGATAGATAGATAGATAGATAGATAGATAGATAGATAGATAGATAGATAGATAGATAGATAGATAGATAGATAGAT